GATTGAAATAATTTCGAAAAATTTTCAAAAATAATTTTTGTAAATTTTTCCTCACAAATTACAATATTATATGAGAAAATTTAAAATAGAAAAAAAAAATTATAGATAAAAAAATCAGTAAACATACCAACAGAGATCAAATAAATGATTTCTTGTTTAATTTTTATCAACCAATCACTTCCTTTCCTTAACAATAAATCAAAAATAAATTAAATAATTAAAATATAATCGAATTAAAATTCAACCAATTCTTCGTTTTTTTTTCGAAAACTGTTTTCTTTAATCAATTTTTAATTTCGAAAACTGTTTTCTTTAAAAAAAAAAAAACTGTTTTTCCATTTCGAAAACTGTTTTCTTTAATTAATTTTTAAAATTTTTCCAAAATCAATTTAATCCTCAACTTCGACATATTTCATGCGTGGAACTACCACTCAAAAATGAATGTACGAATTTCATTTTTGAAATTTACAAATTCTATTTCAATTTTCCATTTTTGAAATTTGTAAACTTTGTTTCAATTTTTTTCGCTTCATTTAAATTCTTAAAGAAATAAATTTCCCTATAACATGCCATGTAATTGTATCCAATCATTTTAGTTTTTCGGTGCTATATTGTTTTTTAATTTTCAGCTAATTTAATTTCAATTCAGTTCATTCCAAAAATCACTTTAACATCTCTGAGAAGTAACTTCCTCCTCATTATTTTTGCTGTATTTATTAATCAAATTTAAATTTATTTATCAAATGAATAAAAGATCGATACATGTAATATTTAATTTAACCATTAGCATTATAGCCTCCCGCAGTTTATATGTTTGAAAAATAGTTACTATAAAATTGAATATTATTGGCCTATACTATCCTTTTTTTAATTTTTTTAAATTTTAAATTTTTTAAAATTAGAAACTTCTCCAAGAGAGTAATTAGTAATTAAGCTATACAAGTTAAGCTGTAAATTAATTAAACAAAAAAAAAGGAGACCCTGAAATTTCTGAACTTTTTTAAAAAGATCACAATATTTTTCCTCTTTTTTTCAATGGTAAACCCAATTTTTTTTTTTTTTGCTTTTTATGATCAACAATTTTTTTTGATACAATATAAAAGATTTTACGGCATATAATGATTGTTCCTTTTATCTTTCCTTTTTTTTCTCTTTTTATTTTTTTTTTATTTATACATTCAATTCAAAAAAAAAAGAGAAAAATCACCGATCGTATTATCAACAATACAAATTCAAATGCTCGACAAAATAAACAATAAACAATAATGTGACAAACAATGATAAACAAAATAAGCAATAAACAATAATATGACAAACAAAATAAACAATAAACAATGTAACATAAAAATAGTTAGATCCTTCTCCTACATTATCAATAAATTGACTCTTAATTCCAAATTTTTGCTTCCCAACTATTTAGCAGTAAGTTATTTTCAAACAATTAATTAAACTATTGTTAGTTACTGCTAGTTATTATCAGCTAATTACTACTAGTTATTATTAGCTAATTACCTAATATTAATTACCTCTACTGTTAAAGTTAAATTTCATACAATAATGAATGTAACGAATAAAACTTCAATCATAGTTCAAAAGGAATCCTCCAGAAAGTGATAACATGTTTTTGGAAACATGAAATATAATGGTACCATTTCGCATATACTTACATGATAGTACCATCTCCTATACACTCGTATAATGATACCATCTCGTACACACTCATACCTCATGTGTCACCATTGTTTTATGACGATAATTTCAGTGTCAATTCTAGTAGATTCCAGAGATTCAGTATTACTGTCCACGTCTAACTACATGCCAAACATCAAGAAATGTTATTTTGGAATAACTATACAAATGATTGAATAATGAATTACTGAAGTTTGGAATTTAATTTATTTCTAGGTATTGTTCTGACAATAAAAAGTGACCTATGCTGTTAGGCCTAACCCACAATATACACCAGGTTTACATGATGGATTATCTGCATCAAATAATCTAGTTTATATACAATTCTGATATACCCTGAGATCCTGGAATTCCCAGGTGTTTCGAGTGGATTCACTGACTGATCCTTCCCCAATTTGTTTCAGCAAAATCATCTTGCAATACTGAAAGCAAATGCATTTCGAACACAAGTGTGCACAGATTTAATCTTTTGAAATAGCCTTCAAAAGGAAGCCATAAGTTTGTCCTACCCTCATTCATTAGGCTGTTGGGGTTATATTCTTCTACCTAAAAAGAATAAATTCCCTTCTGATGCATGTTTTATATTTTAAAATGGATGACAAATAAGGTTAGAAAAAGATATAACCCTCTACGAAAAGCAGAGAAAGACCAATAAAGAGAGGTGGTTAAATTTTTTAGCAGAAAAATGATATTTGCATATTTTAAAAGTAGCATCTCATCCAGTGCATCTTAATAAGCATTCCAATGACAATGATTGTAAACGTAGTTATTGGAATCAACGTGAAACACCTGAGACAAACATCATATGGTTAATGGTGTGAAGTGAAGAACAACGATTCTCGAAGTAAGACTAGTTCTCTGTTATTAAATCTGATATTATAATTCCCGTCTTAATGGTATTGCTATCAATCGTGATAACATATTAAGTGTAAAAGATATGGGATACCTTTTATATATATGATTCATCATGTTTTATATATAATTTATTCATTAATTGTGAAAAAGAAAAGAAATAACAGTAAACTTGAAAATGGAAAAAAAAAACTGCATAACAAACCGTACTTAGTCAATTTAGACACGATGAAAACAGATAATGATGTGTCCCGTTGATAATTTAACACTGTCAATGATAATTATAAGCACATAAGTTTTCTCCTTCTTTTTTCTTACTAATGCGCCATATAAAGGCTTAAAACTAAACAAATACTGTAACAGTAATATGCAAACCAAAAGCCCTATTGTATGAGCACTGTTGAAATATTTTTCAGCAAAATATGATACGGAAACGTAAAAACGACAAGAATTGAAGCTGCTGTTAGTAGTGAAAAAAAAAAAAAACAAATGTTGTAACAACAGCACAAAAATAATATATCACAACTGTTTGGTGACGAAAAGAAAAATCCTGTACAATATTATGAAATATTATACACTTTACAAAGGTTGAATTTGTTCAAATTGATGATCAAATTACAGAAAATCGGAAAATACTGGATGCTAAAGAGTAAAGAGAAAAATAGGAGATAAAGCAAGAAAATATGCTTGCTGCATATAATGCAACTACTTCATGTTACACATTATTAAAAAGAATAAGATAAATGATATCTGTTCATTACAGTTTCATTATAGATAGCATTATCTAAGAATTTATTGCTATATATCACAGCAGTTTGCAGCCCGGAATCAAGAATGAAATGACTGTATCATGTCTACAAAATACCATTTTATACGGTTCCTTAATGCCTAAATCCCTCAATGACTTCACGAAAAATTCGAATGCGTCGCTGCCTATTTTAAAAATAAACTTGAATGGGAAATTAGAAAAATGCACAAATTACAGAAAATATATACAACAATCAAAGCAGCTGCATCAGTAGATAATGGAGCATGGTTGCACATCGGAACAGAACAGAAAAATTCCAGTCGTCAAGCTGTCCCTTCTAAGTCACTCAGTGACCTCAACCGATATTTCACTTTTCAGGAAAAGTTTTGATGGACAATACAGGCTGAAAGTTCCTTATCACTTTATATAAATAACACTATCTAAATAGATCTATTGATTGTAAACTACATAAATTACGTCAATTTCCACGAATACCACCATCCTATGACTAAAAAAATCAATATCAGTGACGCAACTGACGTTGTCGTTTCTGCTTTGAAGATTTATCAGATGAACAGCTTACAGATTTAAGTGATTCTCTACTTTTTCCCGTTATCGGCAAATGTTGTAGAACTATTTCTAAATTAGTCATTCGCTGTCGTCTTCTTGAAATTGCGGAGTTCTTATGTTCTGCAGCATTAAAACGGGAAAAATTCTTCATATCTTGTTCCATTACGAAGGGCTAAAATTAGAAATATTTCTAATACGACCAACTTAGAAATCTCTTCAATACTCTACAACTAATAAAATTGCGTTTGTAAGACATATTTTAATAAAAAATTAAATTGCGGAGCAGAATTGAAGGCCAGTAGATCTATAAAAATTAAAGCTGGCCAAAATCTAAAATTAATCTAAAATATTCCAGCCATTACCGTAAATGTTTTAGAAATTGTCAATTTCTGTTTGAAATGTGAAAAAATGAGCGGATCGGTATTAATATAGTATTGGTTTTTCGCAGGAATTTTTTCGAACTTCGAATTTTTCCCTGTTTGGTATTCCACAAAGTACACATCCTGCAAAAAGAACAAGCGTTTAATATTAAATATGCATTAAATTTTTTATTTTACTAATATATATATATATATATATATACAGATGTACTCAATAACAATTGATCATATTGGGACTCAGTGCTTAAACTAATTAAAAACCCTTTCGATATCGAAAAACATCAAATCAACTAAATTAACAGAGAACCACTGAGCTCAGCAAATAAAAATCTCTGCTCATGCCCTTCTCCCACTAACTGATCTGTGCACCAAAATCAATCTGAACGAAACATACCACTTCTTCATAATGAGGCAGTTTTGGTCTTCCAAGACAATAAATACTTGATTCCAGAGCCAGACAACGTCCAACAACTGCATCGAGTGGAAGTGTATCATACATATTGGTAGCAAAAAGCTGAAAAGAAGTTTCCCAAGAGGATTTATAATGGAACTTGATATACTAACATCAGCCAAGTAAACTCATTAGTTACACATAAGTTGCTAACTCCAACATTTCGAACTGAAAATAATGCCGAAAATATTAAACAATTAACTATTATTAAGCAGGAATACTGATCTTAAATCCAGAAAAAATCTTCACTTATGTTATTGCAGGATTTACAGTAGTGTCCAACACATAATATCAACCATCAATAAGTACTGCAATACGACCAAATATATGGAGAGAAATTCACCTCTTTTTCGTGGAATAATTTGCCCGGTTCACAATAGACTTCATGTGGTCGTGCGTAATAAAAACCAAAAACGAATTTATGCCCTTCGAACGAGAAAAGACGCTCAATGCGGAAGCATCTAACATTCTTACGATGAAATGATACTGGACAAAATTCCCTATCAGTATCTTCTATTTCAGCAGGAATTATAGTTGCCACGGGACCACTTCGTTTCGTGCATTCCACCAGTCGACGTAGTATCAATTTATGCTAAAATCAAGAAGTGGAATTGATAAGCTGGAAAGTTTTAATTAAATCACTTGAAAATCCGCACAAATAAAATAAAATAACACTTTTTCTTTTTTTTTAGTCCATTTTGCAAAACAACAAATAATAGAAATTCAACTTTTTTTAAAAATTAATAAGTCCCCTTACATTGTCGTTTTCAAGTTTCTGTACATACACCGTTTCGCTGAGACGCACTTGCAAATGCCGTGAATTCACCAATGTCCGATAATAAGTACAGTTCTTGAAATTATAATCAGGCTGAATACGCAATGGAATTGATGCCGTTGACGTGCGTTGAGCATTTCGGACACACATGATACAAACAAAATCCTAAAGTAAATATAAAATCAGGTTTAAGAAAAACTGATGGTAAGGAGAGAATGAAATCGTAAGAACCAAAGCTGTTTACAATCTTAACACTCAGTATATATTAAAACCATAGTGAAACATTACCTTAACTTCATCAAATAGTTTTTCATCGAAAACACATTCTTCGTGAAGCCAAAAATTGCATTTTTCACACTGTATCATAGGTCCATCGTCATCCGTGGTACCACATATGCAACGCACACAATCGGTATTAGCATCAGCTACGCTAAGGAACGAAAAACTGTCATGATCGTAGGAACCGACTGGAATCTGTAACCGCAAATTTTTGAACACTGGTAAGCAAAACCACAATAAAAACATTTAAATGTATTTTATAAGTTGAAAAGACTTTCATATCTAAAACGGTAAATTTTCGGATAAAATGTTGCGTAATGGAAGTACTCAACTAAACACTATAATTAAAACGAAACTATGGAAGAACATAAACATACCGAAGAATCAAGATATCCATAATTAATTGCCGCTGTCAACGTCCGATGAGGTCCAGTTCTGGATTTTCTCGGGCTCTGATGCTGCTGCTGATGATCACTTTTACCAAGTTTTCTCGTTTGACGCGAGTGTTTTGCTTTTATTGAAGCAAAACTTGCGCGCCAAATATCCAGCTTCCGCCGATCCAGAGGTCTGCTAGATATACTAAGCAAACTATTAACTTTCACTTCGATGGATTCCAGCATTTCTAAGACTGTCAGCGTAGAAGTATGCTGCTCACGAAGCTCAGCAACGAAGTTTGACAATTTTTTTAGTTGCTTTTTGGAAGCTACTTTAGAATCATTAAACTTCATGACTACTTCTTGACAAAGCTGTTCCAAATGCGCATCACTGTTACTCGGTGGAAGAACTGCTAAAGACGTTTTTGAGGTCCTGCTTTGGCTCCGGGATCGAGATTCTAGAAAATAAATAATAAATAAATAAATAAATAATAGAAAATAAATAATCGGTTAAAAATTCTCCTTGGCATAGCTTAAAAAATATTCATCTAAAATGCATTCCCGTCTGGATCAATCGTACCAGCCTATTTTTAGAATCACCAAGACCAAAAGGACATTCAGTACAAAGCACCTCTTAGTGAGAGATTACGATTCAACCATCAAATAATTTTGCTAATATTTCTATTTCGATTGGTTTACTCGAATCACCAGAACAAAGGCCGCCATAACCAGTTTGCCTCACTGGAATATGTCCAACATGTTTCAAAGCACAATCACAATATGATGTGACCGGAACAGTGATTTTATCTATTGTAGCCATTATGTCAGAATTTTAGTAGAAAAAATCACCTTTTCTAAATTTTTCAATTTACATGCTGCCGATTTTCGTACATTCCGCAGCA